TTAAATAAATATGTATGTTAATCCACCTAATTTCAACCTAAATTATAAGGAAGTCCCAAAATTGCTTGATTACACTGCCACCATTATATATATATATAGAGACGTTGGAATTGAAGTCTCTGTTTATCCCTATCTGCGTTGTGAGGCAACTTTGGTAGAGTGGATTGCACCAAATGTAAAATCAATGGAGGAGGCAGATTTATAACACAGAGAGAACAAGTTTATTGTTAACAGAGCGTAATTGTTGCAATACTAAGATGTTGAACTTGGCACAAGCTTGATGGTTACAATATGGCTTGGTAGAGATACATTCAGGCTTCTGATGTTACAATCCTTTAAACTCCTTCTTCAGTGAAGTACTTTATTATTTCAGTGTTCCCTGTTGTGAATATTCACTCTGTTTGTCCTATACCGGATCAAACCACCGATCTCCAGTCTTTCACTACTGGGATCCCTAAAACCCCCTTTGTTAGATTCTTTTTAACACAAGCAATCTAACAAGGTTTCACCTTCAGCTCCCTTGCTGAAGAAATATTCACAAATGCTAAGAACTAACTGAATCTATACTGCTTCGCCACACAGAGCCCTAACTGACTCCGCTCCTCTTCTCAGGGTCTCATCCTCCTGACTACCCATTAACTGTTACTTTCAAAACCTTTTTCTCCTTAAGCTCCGCCCACCTTCTCTTCTGCCTTGTCACCATGGCAACCTATCTCTCACAGCTAGGCCATGGCCACGCATGTAAAACATAAATACAGTTTAAACACAGTACAATAAACCCTTTATAATAAACACTTCTCTACACTTATATACCGCTGTTCTCAGCCCGAAGGCGACTCACAGCGGTTCACAACAAATACGAACAGCAAAAATTCAGTGCTACAGTATAGAAACAGTAACAACCTAACACATTACACAATTAATAAACAGTTACTACAATACCCATTCACTGTCGTCTCGTCATCAAAAACATGTTCCAGATTCGTCATCCATTGTTCCATTCCAGTGTTCATTAACCAATCATTGCACTAATTATTGGAACGCCTGCTCAAACAGCCAGGTCTTCACTTTTTTGCGGAATACCATTAGAGATGGTGCTAGTCTAATGTCCGTAGGAAGGGCGTTCCACAGCCGAGGAGCCACCACCGAGAAGGCCCTATCTCTCGTCCCCGCCAGCCGAGCTTGAGGAGCAGGCGGGATCGAGAGCAGGGTCTCCCCGGAAGATCTCAAAGTCCTGGTGGGTTCATAGGCAGAGATGCGGTCGGATAGGTAGCTTGGGCCAGAACCGTTTAGGGCTTTAAAGGCCAACGCCAGCACTTTGAATTCAGCCCGGTAGCAGATCGGTAGCCAGTGGAGTTGGCGCAACAGGGGGGTTGTATGCTCCCTGCGCTCCACTCCTGTTAAAATCATGGCTGCCGAGCGTTGGACTAGTTGGAGCTTCCGAGCTGTCTTCAAAGGCAACCCCACGTAGAGAGCGTTGCAGTAGTCTAAACGGGATGTAACCAGAGCGTGGACTACCGTGGCCAAGTCAGACTTCCCAAGGTATGGGCGCAGCTCATGATTATCATGAGATTATGGGAATTATGGTTCAAGGAAATTATGTCTCCAAGATCCAATATAAACACAATCTCAAACCTAAAAGTAATAATTGTTAAGCCTGCAAGCTCCATCAAAAATATCATCTCATCAACTTCTGATTGCCATTGTGGTATTTAATTAACAATGGCCATTCAATCAACCAGTACATATGACTTTAAATAACACACAAGACTGTGACCAGCACACATACACGCATGGGTCAAAATCATTCAGTTGTGAATTAGCTTGTGCTTATCACACACAGCTCTCCCATATCAAATGATTCATCGAGTTGTTGACATTTGCCTGGCTGCTGTACTGAATGACACAACCATCCTGCCCCACGTGGCATGGTTAAGAAACAAAATAGATGTGTCTCGGTCTCAAAACAGAGCCTCGAGTGTACTTGGGTATATTCCAAAATAATCTAAATGCTGCTTTTTTAGCAAATGGAGGTCAATGAAGCTCAAAACTCAGACAAGGATTTGGGCATTCATGTGTTCATATACACCCACTTGTTCATTTATTATTCTAAAGCTACTTTGCCCAAATCAAATTACATAGCTGACAAGCTGCATAGATAAGAAACATGCAGGAAAAATCTAAACTTGGCGGACAATACTGTATGATATAGCATATCATGCATTTGGCAATTTTTAAATGAATGAATTAGGTTGCATTGTAGGGGTGAAAGAAGGAAAGAGCATGCACTAAAGCTGGAATGTTAAGTCTGAAAAATTAATTTGATGGTGTTATGTATTAGAAATTGGGGTGGAGAGGATAATTACCACCAACCCTAATAATTGAAAACATTTTATTAAGTGATCATTAGTTAATTCATTATTAAAACATACATTTCCAGAGCCAGACATGGTTTTTACAGGGAATGGCAAGGAGACTGTCATTGTTGACCCTAAGGGTACATTTTTATTATTGGTGCCTTCAAAAAGTCTCTTCTTCTCCTTATAAAGTTGTCTTCTCTCAACTTTTTTACCTCGGGGAATATAAAGCCCATAATATGATTATTACTTGAGAATGGTGAAAGTTCAACTCATCTAGAAATAGTCAAGTTGGAAAAGACTGTTCTATAGCATGGAACCTCACTTACTACTGTTCAGTTCAGCCTTTTTGCTAATTTGCATTTTTCTTCTTTCTTCTCTCTCACCAATATGTATCCTATTCAATTCTACTCCAAACACAGTGTTTGCTTAAGATTAATAAGTGGGATGTTTTAATGTTAGTGAGGAAAGTTTTAATTTCACACAAATCCATACTAATGCAGTGCAAATTTTGCCATTAGTGGCTTGCTTTGTTTGTGTGTGTGTCGGAAACGACGAGAAACTGCAAGCTACTTCTGGTGTGAGAGAATTGGCCGTCTGCAAGGACGCTGCCCAAGGGATGCCCAGATGTTTTGATGTTTTAGTATCCTTGTGGGAGGCTTCTCTCATGTCCCCACATGGGGAGCTGGAGCTGACAGAGGGAGCCCATCCATACTCTCCCCAGATTCAAACTTCCAGTCTATCAATCTTCAGTCTTGCCAGCACAAGGGTTTAACCCATTTATTTATTTATTTATTTATTTATTTATTTACGACATTTATATGCCGCCCTTCTCACCCCGAAGGGGACTCAGAGAGGCTTACAAGGTATATATACATACATGTTGTTGTTCATTCGTTCAGTCGTCTCCGACTCTTCGTGACCTCATGGACCAGCCCACGCCAGAGCTCCCTGTCGGCCGTTACCACCCCCAGCTCCCTCACGGTCAGTCCAGTCACTTCAAGGATGCCATCCATCCATCTTGCCCTTGGTCGGCCCCTCTTCCTTTTGCCTTCCACTTTCCCCAGCATAATTGTCTTCTCTAGGCTTTCCTGTCTCCTCATGATGTGGCCAAAGTACTTCAACTTTGTCTCTAGTATCTTTCCCTCCAATGCGCAGTCGGGCTTTATTTCCTGGAGGATGGACTGGTTGGATCTTCTCGCAGTCCAAGGCACTCTCAGCACTTTCCTCCAACACCACAGTTCAAAAGCATCTCTTCCTTCGCTCAGCCTTCCCTAAGGTCCAGCTCTCACATCCGTAGGTGACTACAGGGAATACCATGGCTTTGACTAGGCGGATCTTTGTTGCCAGTCTGATGTCTCTACTCTTTACTATTTTATCGAGACTGGACATTTCTCTCCTCCCAAGAAGTAAGCGTCTTCTGATTTCCTGCTACAGTCTGCATCTGCAGTAATCTTTGCACCTAGAAATACAAAGTCTGTCACGGCCTCCACATCAATATATTATATTATTAGCATAGTACAATATCAGTTTTAAATATTGCTATATTGTACTATACCAACTATATTGTAATATTACATGTAATATAAATATATAATTAGAATATCATGTTATTATTAGTATTATATTGCATTACATTATAATATTTTAAATATTATATGTTTATACACCAGGGGCTGGCTAACAATGATCAAACTGTTAATCTTCATCAAAAAGGTTTTGAATGCTTCTGAGTACATTCATAACAATTTTACACATAAATGGATCATCATACCATCTCTGATTCCCAATTTCCTATCAAAACCTACATTTTGCAAAGACTACTCCTAAACAGGCATTTCCTTTTAATGGAAAAATACATACAGATAAAGCTATAGTTTTAATTATGGTAGTTGTATCTTTGGTTCCAAGTTCCAGTTCTGCCAAATCACTCAGAGTGTGAGATATACTCAAGAAGGTGTAAATCAGTGGTTCCCAAACTTATTTGGCCTACCCCCTGGAAATCAATTTTTCTAAATCTTCTCTTCTTTCTTTTATGCTTTCACCGCCCCCTTAAAGTTATTCATCACCCCAAATGCACCTGTGGCCATTACCGCCGGCCCCCCCCCCCACCCCGGATCGCTGCAGCACCCACCAGGGGGTGGTAATGCCCGCTTTGGGAATCACTGGCATAAATGAATGGGTCAGGGTGGGACAGAGAAAAAATGAAATAAGGGTTTCAAAACACTTCCCTAATTAATTATCCAAATGTAAAACTTTGAGCAATAATAACGATTACAAAGGTGTTCATGAGAATCAATTCTGTACAATTGGGCAGAACATAGGTTGAGCTAAAATAAATGTTTAGTTCCAAACTAATAGCTCCTCTCATACCAAACTGCTCTTACAGGATGGGCAGAGAGCAGGGTGGGCAGAGAGCAAATAGAGAACATTCTTACTCAGTTCAAAGTACTAAAGTGGAAGAATCTTGCACTTTCCAGTAGGCTCAAGTGAAAGCAAACTGCTGCAACCTCTTCTTAAAAAAATCAATTCCTTCTCGTGAATAATGCTTGTAATCTTGACCACATTCAGATGTTGCTTAGCTACATGTGTCCCATGTAAAATGTTGGAAGGTAGGAGAAGATATAGACAAAAGTCACTTACTGTGTGAAGACTTTGGTCAAAACAGATCTCCACATCGTAAAAGTTGCCATTATGTCTGACTGGTAGTGAGGTCCCAGCCCATTGCTGGCCTTCCACTTTGGACCAGGAAAGTAGTTCACCACCAACTTGCCCATGAAGGGAAACCTTGAGAATGTAGCTTCCTTGTGGCACTTTGTCTTTAATACCCCTTATACATTTAAGTTGGATTTGAATGGGTTGAGGTTTTGTAGACCAGTTGATCTAGGAGAAAAGGGGATATTAATGAGTAGGAAAAAGAGAAGACCAGCCCTCCTAGTAGGCAAATATTCAAAATATTCAAAAACAAGGGCTTATACAGTCATTATATTATTTCTTTATTTGATACTGTGTCTTTTCTGCAAACCGGGAGAAATACAATGCAATTCACAGGTCAATTAAAGACAAGCCACAATATATTAAACACAGAGAAAATTATATAGTTGGTCATCCTCATTTGCAGATTTGATTAATCAGAGTTTTGAATAAACTGTTCTCCCTAGGTCCTCAATGGTCAACTTCTGCCAGTTGGTCATGCTGGAGGACCTAGAAATTATTTGGGAGAACAGTTCTCAGGTATTCTCTAGTCCTCCAGTGCAATTCTATGATCATACTAAGGCAGACTTTGACTATAGACTTGTGCTGAGAACCTTAGTAATTTCTAGAAAAGTGTCCCTTGGCTAGTAATAGCCATTTTAATTCAAAGCTCTGACATTTTCAGCAGTCCTCTGCCCCTAAGCTAAGAAGGCTGGCTATAATATCAAAGCCCAATTAAATGGATCATCATATTAAAACAACAGCTATATGAAATACAATTTTAAAATATGAAGTGATAGACACATATGTAATAAAGTAGTCCTCAAAGCCAATATGGGTGGGTTTAAGAAGTGAAATCCATATGAAACAATATAGTCTGGGCCCCCAGAATCTCAATAGTGTTGGGGGTCAGTCTGAGGAACTGCCTATATACTCATCTGTCTAGCTCATGGGTTGACCGGACATGCTTTAGGGCCTCTTCTAAGGGATTCAAATTCAGAAAAGGCTTGCAGGGAAGCAGGAAACCTTACAAACATCCTGGCCCCAAATTGTATAGAGCTTTATAGGTCCAGTGAACTGATCTTAGGAAGAAATTAGAAACCAGTTCTAATTTCTAATATGGCCTCAAAAGCACACTTCAAATACTCCAGATAACTCACTTTGCATTAGCTGTACCTTCCAAACACTTTTCAAGAGCAGACCCAGATACATTAAATTACAGGATCCCCAGGTACAATCCAGATCATTTTTGTTCTGGACTGGATCCAGAGATCTCATAAGTGTCCACAAACTGTGCACAACCAATGGCAGTAGCAGAGTGGAGGCTATATGGTTCAACTGGTTCTTAACCCATTCAACTTGGTTGTCATCTTACCTTCCCTGCAGATGACCACAGAGTTCCTGGTGATTGGGGGGTATCCCATGCTGAAATCAGCAGAGCCCCCTCCCCCTTGTTTATGTTCAGGGAGAAAGAAGGGACAATGTCTCAGAGCTCCACAGCCATCTGCAGTGGCAATAGTGACACAGGCCCAATTCATACCTTTTCCCTTGCACTGATGAACACAGAGTATAATAATAATAATTATTATTATTATTATTATTATTATTATTATTATTATTATTATTATTATCCCATCTCAGCTCTCCAAGGGGACTCGGAGCAGCTTACAGCAATGTGAATAGTAAACAATAATAAAACAAATAACCAATTTAAATTAAACTAATAAACGTAACGAACAAAATCAATAAAAGTGAGTCAAAACATATTAAATTAGCACACATCATCTATAAATAAACAGGGATCATCCATAAATAAACAGAGTAAAGAGGATAGTGGTGGCAGCTCATGTGGACAGTGGACCACATATAAATAGGCAGTTAAAAACATTATTAACAATAATATGGCTGCATCCACGTTCGATTCCACATTCAGGGGCTTAGTCCAAAGCTGTCCATTATCAGTTCACATACATCAACTGTGATTGCTGCTAAGCCTCTTGTTCAAATGCCTGGTCCCAAAACCATGATTTGAGCTTTTTCCTGAAAGAAACTTGAAAAGAAACAAAAGGCTGTCTCTGTTGGGCTTTCAGTAAGATTCCATGGAATTTTCCATGGATTTCATCTTGCTTCTTTACAGAGTACAAAACTGGGCATCTGCTATTGCAGTGAAGTCATTGTCTTTCTAAATCATCTCTGTCATAACATAAAATATTTTTCTTCTATATTTATTTCCATGATGAGAGAAGGTTATTTAAAATTGCATCCCAGAGCACACATCCTATTATTTTAATGTGCTTTGCTTGATAGAATATTCCAAAGTCTCATGATCTACCCTGTAGTGACCAATAATCCCTCTCTTTTTTTAAAAAAAAAAACATTCTACCTTGGATTTATAATGGAAGAGACAGCATATTTCCATATAGATGGAAAGCTCATGGAGTTAAATTAAGCAGTTAAGTAAACACTTGAAGTAGTTAAACCTCTTTTGTTTTTGTTTTTCTCAACACCATATTTAACAAACTAATCTGAATGACAATTATTTTCATTTAAATTGGAAAAATCTTAATTAACAATGAAGATTTAACCTTAATATTTTGGCATCAGAATCATGCATGCATATATATATATATATATATATATATATGAAAATTAACATCATGTGAATGAATAAATAAGACAATCTTTCTAAAACCTCAAGGCAGGATTACTGATGCAGGCAGACTGAGTTATTAAACACATTCTAAATTAAACGCCTCTATGAATTTTATACTGAAATATATTTTGATAGTTTTGCATGCCAAATGTGACATTTTATATTTTAGATTCATCTTCTGTAGTAATTTTGGAAATGTCATACAAACAAAGATTTTGTCATTTACCAATGGAATTACTATGCATGGCCAGTTAGCCTCCTCTCTTTCTGGCTCTTCTAGTTGTTTCAAGTCAGCAAGCCATAAAAAATCTTTATCTCTCTGAAACACAGCAATTTGGAAGATAATCGAATAGTGACTGGGGGGCAAAAACGCCAGTCTGAGGAATTATACCACAATCTCTCTTGCTTTTACAACCTTCCCTCAAAGCGAGTGTCAGTTGAGTAGGAAAAGGAGATAGGAGATTCATCATATCTCAAGCTTGTCTCATTTACATGGTGGCAGGGCTACCGTTCCACATCTCTTACAGGAAAGACTGCTTGGCCGGTGCTGACAAACTGTTTTGAAGAACTCCAACCTTGCCCAAATGATTCATAGTTAATGCTTTCAGACATCCCTGTTTAAGCATGTAGTTGCATCTATTGGAATTGCATGCATTTAAGCCTGCTAAAATTCTAAATTAAAAAACCAGGGTAAGGACAGGATTTCATGGAAGGGAATCGATACAATTGATTTACATTTTGCAGGTTTTTTAAGGGGGAAAAGCACCCAGTCTATCACACAGACACCCACAGAAAAGACTCACCTTCCAACCACGAGCCATTCCTTCATTTGCTTCATTATTCACTCCTGCAAGGTTACTCAACTTGGTTTCAGTCCTCTCTTGACAGGCTATTCCTGCTGCTTTCAGTGCCTGACTTTCTTGCTTGCTTCAATGACAAACAAAGAATAAATGGAGGGGGTTAATAAAATAAAGTGTTGACCCTTGAAATGCACATGCATCTCTATGCATTCCTTCAATATATCACCAAAAAGGCAACAGTGGAATAAATGTTACTGCATGTTTGAGGTAAGATAACATTTAGGTTTTGTGATGAGGCAAAGGAATAAAAACAGGATCACATCTAACTGCACAATTCATTTTTGTCAGCTTGGATGGGTGCCCAAAACACCAGAGGTCACAATGCAGAAAGCCCTGCAAGCTCAAGTTGGCTGGACTATGGCCACAAGGTTTCACTCACAGCACCCAGAAAGCAAAAGCAAGCTTGTTCCACCAGATGGACTGGGCTGGCACAGAAGCAAAAGCACAGCATGGAAATAAAGCAAAAGCATCCATCTGGCCATAGAGGTTCCAAATTCAGGAAACTGGAACTGAGGCCAAGGGAGGCTGGTAGTCTACATATCACTTGGATGGTTAATCTCCTCTGAATTTTAGTCTGAAGTTTGAAGGAGCTATCCATGATAAACTCTATTCACAAAATAGGTTCTGTATCTTGGATAGCTCTTTTTAATAAGTTCAGACTAGTTTGGATTCAGTGTTGTATGGACATGGGCACTACCACTGTCTGGGACCTTATTCCCTAGTTCTTGATATCTCCACAGTCATGGTAGAAAGTTATTTTAGTCCAGAGCTATATCTGCACGCTACATTTTGAGCTGTCATTTCCCACAGGTGAAGTGAGAACTCTGTCAAATTACCATCTTCCACCTAGGATGGGTAGAGTTGGTGGTATGCATGATACAAAAGAGTATATCAACTAAGCTTAAATGATATATTCATTTTTCCACATGCTATGATATCTTAGCTTCTCTGTGCCGATAGTGTGTTGAGTCTTTCAGCCCTTCTCTTATGTCCTTGCTTAAATCTCCACCATCCAAATGCTGAAAAATGAGATATGAATTAGAGAGGGTGTAGTAAATATTGTATAAATTGGACATCTGCTTCATCTCGGATATGCAGAGACCTTGAAAACATTATCATGCAGGCTCAAGGATAGCTGGACATCTTCAGAATCTAAAGCGATTTCTCACAGTGTTCTAGACTGAGTAGGTCTTTTTTAAAGCTAACTAGTCTTGCCAACTCAGAACCAAGCCAAGATTACTTTGGATTACAACACTGATAGCTCATAACATAGAATTGTTGTTAGGGAAACCAATCCTCCACTAGCAGTTGTACAGATTGCACTTAAACTGAGATGGAACAAGGTGCTCCATGACAGGTGGCTGCTGATGTCATAGTCTTTGCTAATCAAAACATCCTGGGGCTTCCATTCAATGAGACCTGACTGCACAACCCTAGTCGCTTACAGTTAGAAAGTGAGGGAGGGAAGTGGCAAGTGAGGGAGGGAAGGGTGGAGGGAATTAAGGAAAACACAGGAGGCTTACAAACAAGAGACGACGTGGCAAAATTCAATGAGTGGAGCAGGTGATAGAGTGATAAAAGAAGTCCCCCAAAATCATTCTAAGTCATGGCTGCATACTTTTAAAAAAATTAGAAGCGTAAAAGTGAAGTGTGCCTCTAATTTTAATTTTTCAGGGCAAGGGGGTAGCAAGCTTTCTTCAATAGAAGTATGGGAAAGGTACCCTAAATAAACATCTCAGGATTTTGTGGCATTCCTTTCTTCCTTGACCTGAAGGTTAGACAAAGCTTAACCTAATTGCCCTAAAAAGGGAATTAAGGGAACTTATATTGTGAACTTTACCATTTAATTCCTGCAGCTGAATCATCTAAGAAAATCTCTTTTCCCAGGAAGAATGGTGAGGTTTGAAACTTTGTACTTATTTAGTTTGCTCACGATGGAAATTATTTCACTTAATTTGGTTAGAGCTACATTGACACAAGGGTTCATTAGGACACCCATTTGCCTGCAATTCAATTTAAAATTAAATACACTTTGTTGTGGATTTTATTACTTTTAAACTACTGTATCTATTGCCTTTATTAGCAGCTATTACACAATTATGAAGGTAAACAGTCTTCATTACTCTATTTGATCTCTTTTAGGGGTACAGCATTTCTCTCTCTCTTTTCTCTAGAAGTTACAAATGGGAAAGCATTAGGACTGGCCAGAAACAAGAGATTTTGGCCAAAACAATCATGGTACTCAACCACTAAATCAAGGAGAAACATTTTCATGTGATGGCTCTTCCATGAATCTTGCTTCTCTAAACAATTTCACACCACATTCTGAAATGAAATTAATAGGATACTACTGACAATTTCTCATCTATTCCTTCCCACCCATTGGAGATTGATATGATACTCCTTTATACCTTTTGTTACTTTTTTAGGAACACATTTTTATTAAAAAGGAAAAAATATTTATTTTCCATTTTTAACACAAAGCAAACTTAAATACGTAATGCTTGAAATTTGGGTCGAGTAGAACAGCAACTTTTTTTTTTTACATGTTTCTTGTGCTCTGTACTCTTTCTGTGCAGGGGATATCACACACGGATATATTCCTGCAGTAGAAATATCTCCTGACAAAGAGAATGTTCTCTTTTCAAAAAATGGTTTTTATTGATGAAAATAAATTATCACAATATCTTTTTAAAAGGAATAAGGGAAGAGATAGGGGATATTTTATTTATCATGTCATCTGCAACCAGAACATTGTATTACATTTCTAACAGAACAAAACAAACAAACAGATAAAAAAACAACACAAATTTTGCAAACTTGGTAGCTGATTAAATGTCCTTTGACCAGTATCTGGCCACTTGGAGTACCTCTGGTGTTGCCGCAAGAAGGTCCTCCATCGTGCATGTGGCAGGGCTCAGGTTGCGTTGCAGCACGTGAGGTAGGGGATAAACATAACTCAACAACCACTGGGTGAATTGACACTAAATTTGGACACAATACACCTATCAGACCAACGAGTGACCATCACTCATTAAAACACTGAAAGACACAGCAGAAGGGACTTAAAAAGCAAAACAAAATACATTACAATGCATGCGCAGAACCCCCTCCCCCCACTATATATATGTGTGTGTGTATATGTGTGTGTGTGTATGTGTGTGTGTATATATTCAAACACACACACATACACAGATATACACACATAGAACACATATACATAGACTGGGCCACAGCAATGCATGGCAGGTGACAGCTAGTATAATGCAACTATCAAAGAAAAAAGAAAAAAACTCTAATAACTGCTACTTTCTATGGATATGGGTTAGGGTAAGTTAGGGAAGGAAAAATTTAACCTCCAATCTCTTTCTTCATGGTTTATATTATCTTTGTTTCATCCTTTTTGATCTCTGCTTCCCCTATTCGCCCTTCTTTCATGTAAAATAGTTGTCTTCTTTATCTTTCATTACATTTTATTTTCATTCTCCTTTTTTCTTGCATCATGTATTCTTTGATAGGTGTCTGATTTGTTTTTTATTTTAGGTTTACTTTGGTGTTAGCTAATAGTTGTGTTAATTTGTCCATATTCATTATTTCTACTATTTTCAGCAACCATTGTTCTGTTGAGGTTATTCCTTTTGTTCTCCAATTTTGTGCATAGATTATTCTAGCAGCCGGTACTAAGTAGTTAAAAAGTATGTCTTTATTTTTTTTCTAAGTCCATATCTATTATTCCCAGTGAAAAGTATTTCGGTTTCAGTTGTATTTTTATATCCAATATTTTCTGAGTATTTTCCATGCACCTCTTTCTCACTCCATCTGCAGTTCTCAAATAGCCTTCTCAGTGTGGCCCCACTCTTCTCCTGCTCCCATGTATAGCTGGTAGAAGGGTGAAAAGCATCACCACCAGTACAGCCCATGCATCATAATAGCATTACCTTGCAGGAGCCACTGAGAGCCCCAAAGGATGTCAGCATTTCCATGTGGTGGCTATGAGGATCAACCCTCTTCACTAGACGGCTTCCCACTCTCTCCCACATTACCATTGGGGGAGAGGCAGGGCAGATGAGACAACTGAGACTTCTCCATTGCCGACTATGAAAGCTATCAACAGATGACCATCCTCACTTTCCTGCCCCCATCCTTCTTGCAAGCCTTTCTGGTGGGAGGAGGTGGAGGAATAACTTAGTGTTACACATGCATCAATGACTATCAGAACCATCAACGGGTGGTCCTCCATACTTAAATCTTCTCTCACCCTCCTGCCAGTTCCTACATGGCTAGAAGGGAGGACAGGAAAAAGGAGAGACTTTCTGGTTCCTGCCAGAACATTTTTAAAAATTCTCCTGCAGTGAAAAATGGTTAAACTACTCCTTCTACTCTGTGGGAACAAGCAATTTCAACAAGCACATTCCTACCTACTGGCAAAAACATAGACATCTCTAGGAAAAAAAGATTTTCATTCACTCCTTTATGAGAGCAAGTGGAAAACACTTCCAGCTGTATGGGATTAGACTGTATTTGATTTATACAAACAAGCAAGTATTATGGGAGACAATAAGACAGACACAGCATATGAAAAGACCTACAAAAAAAGAGGCTGCTTCATTCAGTGATCAAAGACAGAGGTAGAAAACCAATTTAGGTTTAGATAAATGTGGAATTTCTGGTACATTGTTATCAGTGCGTTTCCAAACACACAATCATTGCAACCAGATCATCTAATTCAGTTCCTTATTGTACTGGATGAACCGGTTGCAATGACATGCTGCACCTAATCTCAAATAAGATTGTGCTTATTCTGTGTTTTGAGTACTAGAAGCAAAAGGGGGAAATGAATGTATTGCAGCACTGTTAAGATACCTGCAGTTGTAGTGGGAAACAAGGGAAATTTGGCACATTGCCCTGAACATAAAATAAAGCCCTCTTAATGTTGATGGAGGGTCCTAGCAAGCATGCCAATGATCAGGAATGATGGACGTTGTAGTTCAAAAATTGGCGGTTGTATGTTTCTCAGCCCCACCTATAGCAAGGAACATTTTAAACAAAAAAATGCAAAGAATTCAAAGAATCAAGCTAAATGACATGTTCTAAACTCCCAAGAGAAACCGGTTTTATTGTTTGCATGATATAATGTCACCTCAAATGCTTAAGCCTAATCTTGCTAGCAAAGGCTGTATGGTAGCCTCATGATATGTATATAGGAGCCGTGGTGGTACAATGAGTTAAACCCTTGTGCTGGCTGAACTGCTGACCTGAAGGTCGGCAGTTTGAATCCGTGAGATGAAATGAGCTCCTGTCTATCAGCTCCAGCTTCCCATATGGAGACGTGAAAGAAGCAGGCATCCCCTGGGCAATGTCCTTTCAGATGGCCTATTCTCTCACACCAGAAGTGACTTGCAGTTTCTTACGTCGCTTCTGACACAAAAAATATTGGTATGTATAGAAAAGAAGGAATTGTCGGGACTGGGAGCAACAAGTGGCACTTTTTTAATATAAAAAGCACCCACTGGTTTTTGGGAAATTCAATATTGGAGCACTATCAAAGCAATCTGGAAATTGAACTCTAGTTTTGAAAATAAAATCATCAGCAGTTTCTGTCACTTTCAAACACCAGGGAGAAAGTACTGGGAAATGTAAGAAATCTTGTTGATACTGCATACCTTTGCAATACCTTGGGAAGTCTTCTGCCAATCTTCTTTGTATACTGGAATATGCCTTTTTGTTTTAAATCCTACAGGAAGAATATTTAGAATGTTCAAAGCACATAAAGCATAAATGTCAATGTTACAACTGCAAAGACTCTACAAATATCCCTCCATCTGTAATATATATAGTGTGAAGCAGTTTTCTAACAAAACCAAACAAAAAGCGATATTTATAGGATCATTGTAAATGAGAAATCTAAAATTTTAAGAATTGCTGAAGTGTGTGGGGTTTTGTTTTGTTTTTTTTTAAAAAAAAATAGCAACTGGAAAGTTACTACTAGACCAAAATTCAGATTACAGCACAAACAATGGACTCCTTCCACTGCATGCTCCACTTTCCTAGCTGGGTGAATAATGGTTTTGAGGGACTGGACTTCCAATGGAACCTTATTCTTTATAAGCAAAGAGCGAGTCATTCCCATATGATCCAGTGTGAGGTAGTGGTTTGAGCACTGGTCTAGGACTGTAAAGACTAGTGCTATGCAAACCCCATCTTTGGCAAGTCGTCCCATCCTCAAAGAAACACAAAGGCAGCCCCTCCCCTTCAAACAAATCTTGCCAAGAAAAATCCATGATAGGGTCTCTGTATCCAAGAAACAAAGGTACACAACAAGCCATTTTCATGGAAAAGGTATGGAATATGAGCATGAATGTCACAGTGTGTGTGATACGTATCCCCACCTGTGCATATGTGGAATAAGGACCATTGTTAGGGATTACAGATATTCATTTTCTAATTTCCTGAAGGCACATCCAAGATAAGCAGAGGAGATACGTTTCTGAAAATTCCCCCTGAAAACCTTTTTTTAAAAAAATAAAGCAGAACTGTTCAACAGTCTCTATTTCCTGCTTGAGAAAAAGGAAGAAACATTATTTACCTCCTCTGCTGCAGTTCCATAAAAGCCATGTTTAATTTAGATGGATGAGGAATGGATTTGGAAAACCATTCATATACCTTGCTCTGCTAGATAAGGGCTCCAAGTGGAAAATAAGGAGTAAGCTGGAACAACCAGAGGAGTGAAATATGGGAAAACAAGGAGCTTTCATTCTTCTCATCAAGTTTTAGAGGCTCTATATAGCCCTGAAGTAATCAGTGGGAAAAGGGCATTATCAGTTGTAATCCCTATAACTCTAATGTTATTGTAGGTTTTTTCGGGCTATATGGCCATGTTCTAGAGGCATTCTCTCCTGATGTTTTGCCTGCATCTATGGCAAGCATCCTCAGGGGTAGTGAAGTCTATTGGAACTAGGAAAATGGGTTTATATATCTGTAGAATGACCAGGGTGGGACAAAGAACTCTTGTCTGTTGGAGCTAGGTGTGAATCACACCATGTTTGTCACAATAAAGATGAATGTAGACACTCACAAATGTGGAAGCCTTTTGCCTTTGACCAAGGAACAAATTCAGTCATTTGTTTTTTTGCAGAGTTTATGTAAAAGAACATATATACATGCTCCAGTGACCTAGCTCCAACAACCCACACAAAGGAGTTGTACTTTGGTTCCTTTATTCCCCCTGCAGCTGCCCCACCCTGGCTGAAACTACACAATGTTGGCCAGGTGGTTTGGCTCATTCCCTGCTGCATAGATCGTTATATCACTTACATCACTTGTTACTTCAGAAATGAACTCTAACAATGTTGTCAGCTGATGGCATATATATGTGTGTCTCTGCTTAAATTGAATAAGACCAATCCACATAGTAGAAGTACAAACAGAGAAGTTAAGTAGTCTAGAAGATTTGAGGATAATATTTTGACCAGGCCCTAGAAAATGTATTAGTTGACTATGCTTCCCAGAATTACCCAGTCAGTGCAGCCAGTGGCCATGTTGTCTGGTGAATTCTGGGAGCTGTAAAGCAAAAAGTTATTTTTTCCAAGCTTTGATCCTTGCATTATTTTCTTTTTAAAAGCAGCCATGCAAAAGAGATGGATTACGTGGACTTAACACCTTCCTCCACCATTTCTACAACTTAAGATCCCTTTGTCTGTGATGGGTCACTATAGAAGGGAAGGATAGCATCGGGAACAATGGATATCTCTGAAGAACTACAGTTTTGATCCAAAGTTATCCATCTATCCCAAATGGACCATTTTAGCCAATAAATAGTCATATTTTAGCACAGCATATCTCATGTAATTTCTAGAGTAGCATTTAGTTGAATAACTAACAACCGGTATTTATCCATCCATAATGGTCTGATATGGGAGAGAATCAAAGAGAGAGAACACAGAGAGAGCTGTAGGTGGATAAATGTATCAGACTTCTTCCATAATATTGTTCTACTGAGCATTCATTCAAACATACCCTGACAACTGCATACCTGCCAACAACCAGACAGTTTAACATCCTGCCAGTGATAATAACCAGATATTCCAGACGAAGAATATTTTTACAGTATTCAGTGATCTAGAAATTCAATAATCAAAACACTTGGACATAAAAACATTGTCTCCAACTTCTTCCAGACCCCCAGTTTTTTTAAAAAAAACGTATCCTATTGTTCTTTTTGTGTTTATTCACATATTACTATGTATTACAGTTTAAAACATCGGTTGCTAATGTTATTTCATTTTAGGGACATAACTCTTCCCTAATTTCGGTCTCAATCAAGCAATGAGTAATTTAAGCATTTTTTATTCCACTGTAAGTCTTTGAAAAAGATCAGGTATAGGTATCCCTTCTGACCACTGAACTGCCACTGAGAATATTTCTTCATTTCCCATCATCATAGAAAACATAGTTTGGGATCATATATTCCCTCTCTTGTTCTCTCTCCCTTCTTCCTCCCTTGCTCTTTCTTCTTCCTTTTTCTTTTCTTCCCCTCCACCCAATTTAGTAACTAGTCTGAGCCCTTATTTTTAACAGGTAACAGGGTACAATGGTAACGTAAAATTAAAATTAGCAGTTAGTCAATTACAGGAGCCCCCAGTGGCGCAATGGGTTAAACCTTTGTGCCGGCAGGACTGACAACCAACAGGTCAGTGGTTCGAATCCGGGGAGAGTACGGATGAGCTCCCTCTGTCAGCTCCACATGTGGGGATATGAGAGAAGCATGGATGGTAAAACATCAAAACATCCAAGCGTCCCCTGGGTAACGTCCTTCCAGACGGCCAATTCTCTCACATCAGAAATGACTTGTGGTTTCTCAAGTCGCTCCTGACATTAAAAAAAGTCACTCACAAAACACTGAGTGACTTCCACATTTTAGACTAACTTGGTCAGTAGCAAGGAGAAAAGTGAAGAAACTGCCCTGAGCTCCTTAAAGAAATGGGAGAATAAAGATTGTGGTTAATAAAACTTTTTAAAAGTTAACCACTTTAATCCCTTTAAAATGTCAGCCACTACATAATAAAGTTTTTTAATAAACTAAAAATGTATAAAAACCACAAAAATACAACTAGAAGAAACATTTTACAAATGTTGATAAAATACATAATGTGTGTGTGCCTTCAAATCACGTATCAACAAGGGGATAACCATTAATTTCAATGTGTTTTCTTAGGCAATATATACTCAGAGGTGGTTTTGTGGGTTCCTTCTTCTGAAATGTAGTCCATACAGTACCTGGTATTTATTGACAGCATCACATCTAAGTATTAACTAAGGCTGACCCTGCCCATCTTCCAAGATCAGACAGGACCTTGTCCCTGTAGGGTATTTAGACACAATTAAATATTAAAGGTAAAGGTTAAAGTTTCCCCTTGACATTAAGTCTAGTTGAGTCCAACTCTGGGGGTTGGTGCTCATGTCCATTTCTAAGCTGAAGAGCTGGTATTGTCCGTAGTCACCTCCTAGGTGGTCAGCTACACAGTGCCATTACCTTCCCACCAAAGTGGTACCTATTTATCTACTCACATTTGCATGTTTTTGAACTGCTGGGTTGGCAGAAGCTGGGGCTATCAACAGGAGCTTGCTCCATTCTGTGGATTCAAACAGCCGACCTTCCAGTCAGCAAGTTCAGCAGCTCAGTAGTTTAACCCTCTGTATAACCATGGCCCTAATTACATATTAGAGCTATTGAAATATAGGGCTTTCAACACTTATTGTGAAACACATTGCATACTTCTGCAATTATCTGAATACAAAAGAATGTGACAGCCTAGTAGCATGACAGAGGGAACATTGATTAGTCCAATGAAAATAAAGGTACACATCTCTATTCGTCTGTGGCATCACTGGAGCAATATACTATTATACTATTAGCTTAATTGCTTTTTCTTCCTATTTCTTTCTATTGTAAGTCATGGTATGTCCAAACGGAGAAGAATATGACAGACTAACAAATGGGACAGGAGGTAGAAAGTGAACCCCCAAGGTATCATGTAAGTAATGTAATACCTTTGAGTCCCTACCTGAAGGCAACTGACAAATCAATTAAGACTACCATAAAAAGGTAAAAACCCAATTAAATAATTATCTCTTCCACTTGCGACTATTAAGAGCTAATTAAATTCTATATGTTATTACATGTGGATTCAAATTCTCCCTTGCCAGTTAAGAAAAGGTACTCACTGGTTACAGATAAGACATTATAAACATTTGAATAATTATTGTGATTGGGCATGCTGTGAGAATTAAAGTAAAAATAATTGACTGACATTGAGAATTATGACTCAAAGATGTCAAAAGACCCTCTTCTTTCCAAAAAAATGAAGAAAACTACCTCTGATATATTATTTTATGTAAAGTAGTAAACCAAGTGTTTGAAACATCTATTCATATTTAAGATTCTGTAGCACTGGGAGATTGATGGTATTTGTGACACAAAGATGTATCTGAAATTTATAAGAATGTTTAAGCCTGAATCCTTACTAACACAGGGATAAGTCTCCTTGCTGTATATGATGATGGCTTCTTCACAGATCTTTGTAGATTACATTGTAAGTAGGAGTGGAAGTAATGTGTCCCTCCAAATGTTGCTGAACTGCAGCTTCTAGCATGCTTAGCTTATGGTAAGGAAGACTAGATGTCACACTCCAATATCTATATATACAGTTGCCTGTTTGCTCCCAAGCACAATTCAAAGTGCTGGCTTTGGTCTATAAAGGCTTAAATGGCCTTGGTCCAGTTTACCTGTCCAAACGCATCTCCCTTTATGAACCACCACGAAGACTAAGATCTTCTAGGGAGGCTCTGCTCTCGGTCCCGCCACATCACAGGCCTTCTCAGTTATTGCCCCAGCTATGGAACTCCCTTCCTGGTGAGATTAGATCAGCCCCCTCCCTCTTGTCCTTCAGAAAGATGGTAAAAACCTGGCTGTGGGACCAAGCCTTTGAAGCAATGCAATAAGGCAATATTAGGAAACCCACTCTGCTTACATGATGTTTTGAGATGGTTTTAAACAATTGATTTTAAAGTAGATGTAACTGATTTTAGTTTTTATGTATATTTATAGTTATTTTATGTTCCGGTATGGAATGCTTGCCATATATATGTTGTGCTCCACCCTGAGTCCACTTTGGGGTGAGAAGGGCAGAATATAAATGTTTCAAATAAAAAAATATATGTTGCCAAGTCAGGAATAACTTTGGCCCTGAGATTTTAGTGCAATCCCTGGCAATGGTCCCTAGTGATGTTTCTGAAGGGGATGAGAGAAGTGTACACAACACACTGTAACAAATATGCATTCACATATATAAACACAAATATGTTTTATGAAATAGTGCTGAGATTCCAGTCCATCCCTGAAGACTGAGGAAGAGGATCCAGGCCTTTGGATTCAGGATTTTCATTATGCGCAATGTTGGTTTTGCCATTACAAAAATGGGAGTGCTTAAAGAATGTAGGTCATGGCTCTAATGATATTTCACATTGTCTGCCCAACTTTCCCTTGCCATAACCATAGATTGGTAATGCATGGCACCAATGATTCATTGATCATTAAGCAGGCAATCAATTCCTGTGATGCCAGCAACTTCTAAATCTTTATGGTCACATCAAGACTGCTCCCTCTCACTTCATCCTTCTCTTTCACTGAAGATGGTGGTGAGCCACAACCACATACATCTCATCTGCCGAAAACTCTTTTCTAGTTAATTAAGTATCAGAAAAACTAGATGCATATTTAAAAGTAGCAAGGAAACCTTTCAAGCATTTCCTTTTACTGCTCCTTGCTTACCTTTTATTTTCAGAAATAATTGATCTCAGTGGTACATACAAGAGACTGAACACCTTTATTTGCATGAATTCATCTAAAGAAGTCTGTCTTTCTCAGATCTAGTTTGCATCTTTCTGTCAAAGAGGCTAATATTTGTCTAATTTTCCAGTTTTTTCCCCCCAATCTTGTGATTTTTTTTAAAAAAGGGTTCATAATGTGCATGCCAGACCCATTCCCCAATCCATGCCATGTTTGTTAGAATGACCTGGATTAAATATAGAGAATTCACTGCAGTTTATTATTCTTAAACATCTGGAAGATGGTTTACACTTCCAAAAATTTCCAAATGGAAAACGGTCTATCTTAACAATGCATAGCAAACTCCAGAGCATCCCACAACTTTGGGATAGTCTGCACAGGTATGATTCACCACAATTCATTGCCCAGACTGGACACTGGTGCCATCACTCTTTCCCTGTGCTGCTGATCATGCCCTTGGCACTAGCACTGCCCCTGCCTCTCCCAGCCACCCACCACACTCTGTGAGCTTCTGGCCATCACAGGCATACCTGACGATATCAGAATGAGAAACTCACAGAAAAAGGAAGAAGGAGGGGAGAAAAAGTCCTTCCTCTTCCTGGTTATGTGAGCACCCTGGTCCCGAAATGACCAGGAGCTTGCATGGGACTCCATGGCCAACGAGGAGTGGCAGCAACATGGATGAGGTGGGATGCAGTTCACCCCTGTGAAGTGGATGCACTTCTGGAACATCTCAACAATAGCAGCAGATCTAGGGCTGTTTTAGGGCATATTTATACCATGCTAAACTGCCTGGGGTAGAGCCCTGGACCACGACAGGTAAATAACCACAGAATAGTACAGTTTGTATTCTTTAAATATCTGAAGAAACTACATTATTATTTCCAAGAATTCCAGAGCTCTAAAAAAAAATTATTTATTTATTTTGAGATTTTATATACCGACCCTCTCACCTTCAAAGAGGGATTTGGACCGGTTCACAACATGTGTTAACATACAAAAAATATACAATAACAACACAATGCCATTGCTGGGAAAGCTAATGACAAATCCCAGCACAACACAGAGGAAGAGAACAAAATGAGAAGAATAGAAGCTAAAAGCTATTCATACGTCCAGAAGAGAGACAGAAGATAAAAATCCATCTTACTCTGCTTGCAACAGAAGCAATACAACTGTTCACAGTGAGATCGCAGCAGGTAGAATTCCCTTTCAGCTCAGATTGTTGCATTTTGTTTACAAACCTAACATGTTTGGGCTCCCTCTTGTGCTGTTTTGACTATGTAAGGAGTCACCCATTGGCAAATAAGTTTCTAAATATTGAAAATGTTTACAATGCCTTTTAATTTTTTTATTTGGTCTATTTTATTCTCCAGATCATTTTATTTCTTTACATAGTGAGCCCTTTGGGGATTGGACTATAACATCTGGAGAAAAGTGTTGTAAACTATTCAAGGCTCACAGGATTTGGCTGACTCTACATCAAATTTATTTATTTATTTATTTACTTACTTACTTACTTCAATTGTATACCACTTTTCTCACTCCAGGGGGGACTCAAAGTGGTTTCCAACATAATTATGGCAAAATTTAATGCCTCATATATATAAAAAACCTAACGTAGAGCAACCATAACATATAACTATCAATTAGATAATAAAAACATAACAACATTTAGACAATTAATAATAAAATGAACAATTAACAATTAAATAATCAAATATTCTAACGACACCTGCCTTTAAAAGTTTGTAACAGAGGGAAACAATGGTCAGTACAAAGGAGCAAAATTGCTAATGCACCCAAACAATTGAAGGGCAGGAAACCAAATGTGCATTCTTATGTGGGAGGACAGTCCCAACCTTTGATGACTGGTAGAATATTGAGAAGATGTCACAGGCACCTGCACAGCTGGCATGATGCATATAGCTAGTTACAAAATATCAATTTTCCAAAAAGGAAAGCTGAAAGAAAAGTTGCTGAAGAATCTGAATAGAAAATGGCCATTCAAGTCTAAATTTCAGGACACAGAACTCCTCCTTTGAATCCACAGCTTGTGGTCCTAAAGATTCTTCATTTAACAGAAAGCAAGTCAGTAATTGCCCATTTCTCAAACATCTTTATTCTACTAAATGTATTCCCCCAGAAAGTAGGTTTACTCCACATCACACATGAAGAACATACTTCACACACTGTCCCTCAGGGAGGCTCTAAATAGACAACTTATCCTGGGGCCAATCTGGACTGGTAAATGCCAGATTGGTCCCTGGACAGTTTAGACCACCGTCCTCCCAGATGGTTCAGCGTTGCTATAGGGCCACTCTTGCTCTCCCTCCATCTCTTCATCACAACTAAGTGGTCAGTGGAGATGTTAATCCACAACTTTACACTCTTCTCATCTGGGTCACTGCTATATTCTTTCTTTTATACATATGTAATCTACACAAGCCAGTCTATTCACAGGCATGCAGCTATGTACACCATCTATCTACCATGCAAGGAACTGTACATCCATCTCTTGTCCACCCCCAACCATCATCCAAACACCTAAATGGGGAGGGGGGTATTTGTGGTTGGCATGAGAGAGGCTGAGAGGAGCACTATTGTAAAGTCTAAAACTTATATCTGACTTTACTGTCTCTGTTCCCAATGTCTGCCTCTATAATCTAAACAAATCAGTATGAATGATGCAGGAAATTCAAAAGCACTATTGCTGCAGTCTTGTGTGGAAAAAGTCACTTGTAGAGCACATAAAAGGACTGTTGGTACTTCATTCTGACCTGTTCCAGTGGAGAGTTGCCAAGGAGAATGATCTCATTTTGAACATCCTTCTCAAACTGCTCAATATAAGGCAGAACTTCTCCAGCTTCCTCAAGAAGATGAAAAGTCTTGTTATACCTGCTAGGCCATGCAGAATCTAAAGCATCATCATCATGTTTGTCTTCAGCCTGTTTTTCTGGAGACAGAGATAGGCACATGTTAAGCATTTAAGATCTAGTTTGCTTTTCACTAAAATCTCCAGTGCCTCAATTAGAGCTAGATGCAAAAGCTGCCTCCATTCAGAGTACATGCTTAGTCCAGGATTTGTTTCCAATGTCAGAATTAGAGCTCACATATAACTAATATGCTTCAGTTTAATATGGAGCAGTGCCAACAGTAAGAAAACACTCAGAAAGGAGAAAGAAAAAGCTACAAATATTTAATCTGTTGAACAGGAACTCAGGAAATCATCGCTAAGAGCATCCAAGAAATCCTGGTACCACCTTTCAGGAGAAGTTGCCATGTAGGAAAAGTTTCTGCAATGACATTCCATCCAGTGGGCTTTATCTGCCAATATAATTGGTTCTGTAAACCTCTCCATCATCCTTTAGTTATCTAAAATGTAGTGGCACACTGATCCCACTCAGCCTGTAACTCCACTTATATTCAAATAGGCAGGGGAATTTTAGCTCCCTAGGTTAGGTAACTCTTTCAAGTGATAGAATCCCATCCAGGGCTTTTTCCTAGTTGTCAGATTGTTATTTATATGCATAAGTAATATGGTAAGAAAAATAAAGTACAATCCTGCTATATGTGGGGTATACATTCTCAAATTTACCATGGAAACAGGATAATAGTGAATTTTATTCAATAATAGTGGATAATAGTGAATTCTATTCAAATGAGCAACCTCCACCAGAGGTTACCATAGAATTGTTCTGAAGGACCTATATCTCATCTTTCAGAAATTGCTTAGTCCTCGAACTATGACTCCTGGGAAAGGATACCATAGAATCACCTTGAGGTCCTTGAAAAGTCATGGAGAGGACAAATCTTGTTAAATGGGGGTAAGTGAAACCACAGCTAGTTGTGCAATGGATACTTGCCTCATTACACTAGAATCCAGTGAGGCCCAGTACCTGCCAGGGCTGAGCATTTTAAAGTCTCCTTCCCTAAATTGTAAGCCCCAGAATGCTACAAGAGGCAACAACTGGGTTTAAAGTGCATCCATGCTCTAGTGTGATGAGGTAGAAGGGTCAATCTCGATGTTTTGAGTAACAAGATGCAATAGAAATTCTTGAAAATTTCTAACAAAGATAAGCCAATAATGCTTATATATAATTGAACAGTCGTTGAAAGATTTGTTTTAACATTGTCAGCCACTTTGAGTCTCTTTTCAGKGGGGTAAGTACGGTGGTATTATTATTATTATTATTATTATTATTATTATTATTACTATTACTATTACTATTACTATTACTATTACTATTACTATTACTATTACTATTATTAGAAGCACAACAAGATTAGTAAACGGCAAACAAGGTCACTATGCTGGCTGTTGTATTAGATCACACGTCAGACACTTCCCAAGTGTCTAGGACTGTGTAATGTATCGGTGAATAATGKATGCAGATCCCAGTAGAGTGGCCTTTTGCAGCTGACAAAGGGTAATTTAGTCAGSGCCGATTGTGTTTAAGTGCGGGCCAAGGTCTTTAGGTACTGCACCCAGTGTGCCGATCACCACTGGGACCACCTTTACTGGCTTGTGCCAGAGTCTTTGCTGTTTGATCTTTAAATCCTCATATCGTGTCAGCTTTTCCAGTTGTTTCTATTATTATTATTATTATTATRATTATTATTATTATTATTATTATTATTTCAGGGGGCAGGTCACTTTTTGGCTATTTTTGGAGACAGATAGAAGTAATGTCTGCTGAGATACTGGGGTTACACAGCAATCCCACTTGTCAATCATGGGTAACCAAGATTAATGATTAACAAATGACATATTAGGTGCAATGATTTGAGACTCTTGTTCAGAAGGTAGGCCAAATTTGACAAAATCAAGCTTAGAATGGAAATGAGTTTTGACAAGGAAAGACACAAAAATGAAACTAATTGGCTATTTCAGTCTAAATCCAATGTATATCAATTATTCTCACAACTGTAAACATATTCTTGTATTTGTAAGTCTTTTTGATTATAGCTCTATATATTGCTTTGAAAATTAAGCTATGGCTTTTATTCCGATCTTCTAGAACTTTAGGTCACAAATAATCAAAGGAGTTCTATTGCTCATTTCCCCATATTAGCATCACTAAAAATGACAGTTACCAGTTTATCTATATCTCATTTCATGTGAATTATCTGAAGAGAAATCCATGCTTTTATATTTATCTATTCCCTCCTCTTTTTATGGAAAACTGTCACATTAGTCGTTCCATATGCTGCAAGACACAAATCTGATTAAACAATCTCTTTTTCCCTTCATCTCCATTTTCCTTAAGTTTTCTATGCAAACAAGAACCAGAAATATCAATAGCTATTTATGTTTTTACTTTTACTCAACCAACATAGTTCCATTACAGAATTCAAAATTCCACCATCTAAATATATGACTGACCTGAAAACCTACTACCATGGGATACAGATATTTTCCTTTGATTTAAACTTGAACATATGTGTGTGTGCTTAGGGCAACAAGTTTACTTAGGGAAAGGGAAAGTTTTACCCTGACATTAAGTCTAGTCGTTTGCAACTCTGGGGTGTGGTGCTCATCTCAATTTCTAAGCCGAAAAGCCGGTGTTGTCCGTAGACACCTCCATGGTGATGTGGCCAGTATGACTGCATGGAGTGCCGTTACCTTCCTATAGAAGTGGTACTTATTGATCTACTCACACTTACATGTTTTCAAACTGCTAGATTGGCAGAAGCTGGGCCGATCAGCAGGATCTCACCCCGCTCCCTGGATTAGAACCACTGACCTTTCGGTGAGTAAGTTCAGCAGCTCAGCGGTTTAACCCTCTGCGCCACCAGGAGGCCTTCAAGTTTACTTAGTCAAGGGGAAACTTGTGTAATTTGGATAAATTGTGCAAGTCAAGGTGGGCGCTAGGAAAACGGAATTTTAAAATGTGTGAATTTAAGTGAAAGGAGAAAACAGAAACCCTCATAACCCTATATGCATAAAGGATGGGGAGAATACAGATTAGATCTTCAGACAATCAATGAAGACACTTCAACATCACTGAGACACACACATGTTCAAAACATTATGATTGCAACATCATTGAAGATATTACTAGCATTTATAAACAGTTAATTTCAAGTATAATGTCACAGGCAGAATTTTCACAGTATCTCCAGCCCATAATTTGAACAAAGACAATTCACAGTTCATCTTTCAGCTATGAAATATAGAGTAGTCATATATCACATCCTTCCACAGTCTGACTCATTATCATCATAGTTTATCATTTAAGAGTAGGAAATATCTGACCTCATCAGTCATATAGAATCCTGCCTGTACCCGCCACCAATTAAAAAAAAGTTTCCAGCCCAAAACAAATGCTGCTCTAGGAAGTTTTCAAAAATACCGACTCTTCTGTAAAACAAAATGCGTTTTTTGCCCTCCCCCTTCCACACTAGGAAAAAAACATTTTAAAAAGAAAACTAGAAGCAGATTTCTAGCTATTTCTGTTTTGTTGGAGGGGATCATACAATAGTGGTCCTTAGGGGTGCAGTATTGGTGGTCCAATTCCCCGAAGGTTGATTGCCACTGTTGTAGTCCAATTTATCTGAAGAATACAAGAACAGAGAAGTAACAAATGATGGCAAAGCATATGTGAACCAGATTTTCATTTGTTTTTATATTAATGAATATACATTATTTAGGTTTTCTAAATGAGAGATTTTTGTAGTTTACCAGGTGATGCCAACATGCCGCTCTCTTCATCTAGAATTGTCATCAGTTTCTCATAGAGAAGTTTCTCATACAGCTTCACAGGCACTAAAAGAAATGAAGTAATGAAGGTCAGAGTGATCCAGAAATCCAGATAATATGGAAGTGAGTATATAAATGAAATACAAGGGGGAGAAAGAAAAGGAATAGATTCTGATATGTCTAAATAAGTACAGCAACCCACGGCTTGTTAGTGTCCAATTATGAAAAATAGATAGATGCAAAATGCTATAAATGACAGTGTTTCTTAGAGTGCTACACTAAAGTATTTCATGTTTCAGTTGTAGATGCAATTTCCAGAAACGAAAACTAATCATGTGTTCCCAACATGCTTTCCAGGTGCAAAAAGATCCTGGAAAATTCCTGTGAAAAGTAATTAGTTATGTTTAAGGCCAAATTATGATTACAATTTTATTATTACTTCTTTGCTTTCCTCTTTCACATTGGTCTTCTTGCAGGTGTAGGAACCAAGGATGGGCCCCTGTCTGCAAACCTCTAGGTTTCCCAGACATGTTCTCCTGGAGGCAGATTCCTCCATGGTTTGTTTTCTTCCTTATGTCCCAGACTTAGTAAAAGAAACAAGTGTACAGGTTTAAGGAAATGATAAAATTATAAAACTACCCTTTAGAAATCTGAAGTATTGTTTCCAATCATTTTTTTTCCAAGAAGAGGAAGAGGAGGAAAAGGAAGCAGCGGAGAGCAAAAGTAAAAGGGTATCATAAATTGGACTTTTCAAAAATGAGCATGTATCTTCTGGATATGCCTTATGCAAACATGTTTCTTCCGATCCAGGGTGTCATGGATTGATCAAAATAATTACGTTTGGAATAAAGAAAGCTCTGTGTTATGCTGTGGCTCTATAGATCTCAACCAACCTGGGGCTGCCTGCTGTGGCTGACATACCTCAGTAAATTGGATTTCTGTATGGCTTTCAAGTGACAGCTCAGCCAGAGACATAAGAAGAGAAATTCAAAAGGACAGCCACTTAGATATGGCTCCTCAAGACACAGAAAGGCCTAATATATTAAGTCAAACAAAAGGAACAAATTGGATGGACTTTTCTAAGGACTTCTGTCTGTTCCACTCAACAACCCAAGGGAATGTTTAATATTCATATGAAGATGCTCATCCACCCAATCCATGAGGCCAAGTACAATAAATAGAGAATGTTTGAGAAGGGCATGACTTTGATAACTTTAAGGGAAGAGCTGGATTGTTTCTTTGTTTATGTGTGTTGGCGAATCTCAAATGGCTAAGTAGGCTGACAGATCTTTAAATCATTTAAGTTGGTTCTTTGGTAGGAATTATCGTGATTACTGGTTACATTTCTTGAAGTCATAGACAATATTCTGAGCTCATGCAGTGATAGTTTTGGGTTCTACTGGAGTCCGTTGAAACACACAAAAGCCAATTTCTATCATAAAAACATGGGAAAAGTTTATTAAACTGCAAAAACTTTGTTTTTGTGGGACATCCTTCAGCACATTTTGCTACAGTTTTTCATTGAATGAATATCTCATAGAGTCTCAACTAATTCAACATAGTTGGTGGCAACCACAAAATGAAGTTTCTGGAGTAAAACAACTACTTTCAAAGAAAGGACTGCACAATTAAACAGGAAATGTTCAAACCAGGAACATAGTAATAAAAAAGTAACTGCATTCCATCGCAGCTGCAGTCTAAGGGATAACGTCACTGTTTTGTGATAATTATATAGTTACAAGAGTGTGGCCTTTCTAAATGGAATACAATTACATGAATCTAGCTTTGCCCTTTGCTTTGCCTGTTCTTCTACCTCTTCCTCTGATGGATTATTTATTTATTTATTTACTATATTTATACCCTGCCCTTCTCACCCCGAAGGAGACTCAGAGCAGCTTACAGTAAGCAACAATTTGATGCCGCACAAACATACATACAATTGAAGTAAACATATATATTAAAACGGAAAAGTTTAAAACATCTAAATTCAATGTCAAACCAATTATGATTGAGTTGATGATTAGATAAGTAGGGCCAAGAAATTTAAACACGCCATTTAATTATCTCAAGGATGAATAATTTCAATGATTTTCTCTCTGGGGTGGAGAAACAAATAAAGTTCTCACCTAGACGTTTATCACATGAGGCAGATAAATTGTAATTACAACACATCTTTAGTTGGGAAAGCATTTCTTTTACAAACAGAAATAATCTGTTAATGAGTCCACATTGCAAAAGAAACATCTTCCAACATCCACCCTCATCACTCACTGACAACAACAAAAGAGGATGGCTCCATATAATAAGTGCCATTGTTATCTTGCTATAGTTGCAATTTGCCTACCTCCTGTGATAAACTTCATTGTGTCTGCAATACTCCGTCTTCCTCGTTTTTGTTCTATGTCCGTGTGCCTTCCTTTTGAATGCCAAATACTGTATGTTATGTGTATCTGTTTTAATGACATTTGAGGTATTATTAATTAAATTAGTTAATTTATAATTGCTGAAGCAGCAGGGGAATAATTGATCACAGAGAAAGTTCATCTCTTATTCTATTCTGCTGAAGGACCAATCAAAATTATTCTGGATTTTATTTTTTATATCCCTCTCTAACATTCAAGAACAAAAAAATATTATTATCATCATTTTCTTCTCCATAGACTTAAAAATAAGGTACATTTTGATGCTCTTGACAAGTGACCTTACATTTGGAACAGTAATTTTTAAACATATTGAGAGAGTCAATTCCGCAGAAGCTCTTGACACTTGCTGTGAGGACTTTCACAAGTTTGCATTTTTACAGGGGTATCTGAGTTCTTTTTATCCATCAGGTAGTTCTTCTGCCCTTGCTTGGGTGTGAATATGTTTGTGTGTGTACATGCACATGCTTTGCTTCACAAAGGAGAGGTGCAGAAGTTTTACACAGAAACTTTCTATACAAATCACAGAAGCATCAATGAAAAGGTCCTCCTTATTTTTGTTCTTATACTGGAGGCAACAGCTCTTGTGGAGGAATTTCTCAACTCATTAAGATAGCGTCTCTCTCATCAAGAACATTCCTCACATCTTTATTTCTTCTTTTCAGGCTCCTTAGTTGAAAAGTAAGTGTGAGAAAATGAACTGAGAAGCTGATGGTTTTCTTTCAGCTATCCTTATATCAACCTATGTGCACTTCAGAGGTTAACTCCATTCTCCATCAATTTGTAGCCAGTCATCCCTCCATACCCACAGTTTCTGGATCCATGTATTCTACCATCTATGAGTTGAAAATATCTTTAAAAATCCAAAAAACAAAAACAAAAAACTGAGATTTTGCTGTTTATGTAAAGGACACTATTTGTATATAATGGAACGAATATTCCGGGAGTTTAGTATCAACTGGGGGTCTTGGAACCAAATGCAAGTGAATACCAAGGAGCTGCTATATACTTATCTATGTCTCTTTATAAGTCTCTCTTTTTAAAAACATATTACAGTATTATAAAATGTTCATAACCAACTCCAGCTCCTTGGGGTAATTTACAAAAAGACATTTTGTAATGCAGTACGATTCCCATATTTGCTGAAGATACATTCCTGGATTTTGATGGACACACAAAACCACAGCTAATAACAAACCTTAATGAAATGTAGGACTTCTGGACCAAGAATAATATAATGTCATACTGGAAGACCTAGAAAATGTCTACATAGGATCATAGAGTTGGAAGACACCTTGTGGGCCATCCAGTCCAACTCCCTGCCAAGAAGGGGGATGGATAAAAGAAACTGTGGATAGTGATCCTGTAGCTACTTCTCTCACACCAGAGAAGGAAATTGATCCATTTACCCACAACTAATTTGCTTTTGTAACTCCAACTGGAAATTTTAATTTTGTAGTTATATTGCTTGTTTAGGTGCCCATTCTCCCCACTCCAACTGCACTAGAAATCACAACTGGAAACAGAAAGCCAAACCAAATTGAACTGGAAGCTGCTTATATCTGTTTGCTAACACACTGTCCTTCATCAAAAACTACCAAGGCTTCCCCTCACGTTTAGAGCAGCTAAGACTTATAATTTAAATTGTAGGCTGGATATTTAAATGGAAGCGAATTTGTGATCTTTGTCACCTCATTTCCATGAATGGGAAAGAATATTCTGACACAAAAATTACATACTTAATTCTGCCTCACCTTCTTTGCTGACCTCCATCCCACACTGCCTTGGGTTTATTTCCTCATCCATCAGAGGGTCAAAGTAATTTCTGCTGCATTCATTTCCTGTGGAAAGTACATGAAGTAAGGGTCAGTGATTATTAGAAGCACATGAACCAAAATGTTAATTTTGAAATTCGACACTGGCACGCAAGAGGGGCATTTCTGCTACCAGTTTATAAGGAGTTTTTTAAAAGTCTTCTAAGCTGGCTACTTTCATAATTATCATCTAGGGAAAGGTCAGGAAAGGTAATTTTGGAAACAAGTTCAGTTTATGTTACTTTTGCTCAGAACCTAATGAGAAAATTCAAAAATGTAGATGATAGGCTGATAGAAGTTTTTAAAAAGCCCTCCACCTAAAATTAATCCTAAACCAAAATAATTGTTGAGATGGGTTCTGAATGTGACTGTTAAGGAGATTGTGTTTCACAGGTGACCCCTTCAATTTTAACACTTTTAGATTCACTGCTGAGTTTTCAACATCTGGTGCATCTTTAATATTATTGTCAGCCATGGAAGTGTTTAATTACAGAGGAGATGCAGCAAATACTGCCTCATTAATCTGAACAGCAATTGTATTAACTTGGGCTCAGCATCCACACAATGATTTTGATGGAATAAAAGCACTCATTTAGCAGTTTCAGTTTTGATTGCTGGCTGGGCGTACTGCTCCAGGAACTAATGAAATTTGTAAAAGAAAAGGAGAAATACATCAGCAAGCACACAATCTTATTTTATGGCCTAAATGGGTTGTTTTATTATTTTCTTCTCATGGGTCCCCTCCTTTAAAGATGTGGACTTGATTGTATCCAGTCACTTCAAATGGCTGTATCAAGAAATGGATGCATGTAAGCCTTCCTCACTTACGACCTCATCAGACGGACAATCCCCCCCTTCCCACCCGTCATTTCACTGTCAGCCACCATAAAATAACAGAGAGTCATGGCTGCCATCAAACAATGCAGCCCTACTTTTGTTCATTGCTCCAGCCCCCCCTTGGTCACAAAACTACAGACCTATTGTTAATTTGAGCTGATCTGTGATCACAGAGAGAAATCTTAAAATTAGCAAAAAATAGTATGACGAACTCAGTATTTTATCTGAAAATAAAATGTGATGGGGTCCGTGACAGTCTCCACCCTGTTTTGGCACTTGGCATGGTAAAGAGGGGCATTCTGATGGGCGGTCCTTAGAGCAGCGAGCTGTCATCCCTGATCCTAGAAATGCATGATTACTTCTTCACAAATTTCTTTTTTAAAAAATTAGAAATGACATCTATTGCAGAATAGAGGCATTGGAGAACTGAAAGAATGGGCAGTTTTCCTTTGCTGGTTGGTTTAAATTTATTATTGTTTACTCTTAAGTTCTTTAATGGGTTTTCTTATTGCACTCCTATTCTATCATTATATTTCAAAATGTAATTTGTTAGTAATGGAGTCTGTTTTTATTTTGAGCTGTCCATATAAGAGCATCAAATCCAAATGGTAATTAATGTTAAATAACTTTTAGGATACAGTTGCAGTCCTATATAAGGAATCCTGTCTGAATATTATAAAAAAATAAGATGTGGTCCATCAATAGAAATATTTTTCTAAAAAGAAAAAAATGCATGGGGGACAGAGACTTCTTGGTTCTGTAAAATAGGCAAGGATGCCTACAGGGAAATATTCCAAAGGTTGATACGTCTGATGAGAGGAAAAGTCACAAAACGGGGCAATGGAGGGCTGAAATGTACCATTGGTGATGCCCACTTGAAGTGACTATATCCAGAGCAAAAAAGTAATGTGATGAAGGAGGAAATGTTTCCTACTCCCCCCCTCCCTTTTCTGATCACCTTGTCACTTTGGATATCATCACTTCAGGTGCTGAGTGACAAAGAGTGTCATTTTCCTGTCTGGTGGGCACCACAAATGGCAGATTGAGGGGACAAGGTAAATGCCATCCTCTGTTCCTGAGTTGCCCAAACCCAGGAAAAGTGTGGTTGCAGTGTAACCAGTTACAGACACTTTCCAAATAGGAAACAGCACATGCCCAAAGTTGCAGATTACGCTGGAGTTTGGGAAAGCTCTAGGATATCCCAGAACTTCTGTTTATGAGTTTCAAAGCTGGGTTAAGCTGAATCAGCTCAATGTGTCGTGCTTCTGCCATGGAGTTGATTTGGCCCAGGAAAATGTGTGATTCTAAACCTCTATCAGCACTACCAGACATTGTCACCATATTGGTGTGCTGTTTTATTTGTTCATTTCAGCTATAATTGAGCTCATACCTTTTTTCCCATGAGCTCAAGGGAACACTCACAGTTTTCTTCCGCCTGATTTTAATCGTTATACCAAACATATGAGGCAGATCAGGTGTTTATAGAATGGTCTACCAAAGACCAGTGAGAATTCAAACTTGTACCTCTCAAACTTTCTCTGGCACCCCCACTATTACACCATGCAGACTAGGTAGTTCCCAATGATGATATATGAATTACACATTCACTTCCAGGGTACATACCAGTGCTGATGCAGAAAGATAGCCCATGTCACCCCATATCCAATGCCTCAGAATAACCGAATGAGTTAAAAGAAAAGAAAGCTTTTCCCAAAAGTTATAGCAAAGTTCAGACTTCCAGGACTCTGCAACCATCAATTCCCTTAAAGTTTGCTCATGAGTACTCACCAACCCTAGAGCATGCAGATGCCTGCCATGAGCAGGATAGAAGACTTTACCTATTTGCTTATCCTTTACTCTTCTCAAAATGAGCTGCAAAACATCTTACACAGATCTGACTAAACAATACTGTCTTCAGTTTACATTATTTGCATTTCATCAGTTCAGTAAAGCTTGATTCAGAAATGCAACATCTTTGTGTGAGGAAGACATTCATCTTTGTGCTATAGAAGCTCAATAGGAAATCCTCTCTTAACATTTGTGCAATCCTTATTTAACCCTCATGTGTGGGAGTTAGAATTATGTGACCTGTGGATCACATACAACCTTTTGGGGAACTAAAGTAATGGCCTCCAGGGTTATGAAACCCTATTCCTCAAATTTTCCGATAATGATTTTTTTTCCAGCCCCAGAATACATTTAAAGCATTTTAAAAGGGGGAGGCCTTTATATCCCTTTTCAAGCAGACTTCCCACCTTGAAACACCCAAACTCCTCTCAAAATAGCCTGGGGGAGCACTGGAAATTATTGTCATTTCTTGTTTCCCAGAATAGTGGTCATTATAACATCCTTCAGCCTTCTGGGATTCAAAGCATACCTACCCCCTTCTTAGGGTCTCCCTCTAATTCATATTGGGCAATGTCCTTGATAAAAAAAATTCAAAGGGTCACTCTTGGTCAAGGAGGCATTATGTCATTTACATGTGTGATGCTTTATAGCCAAAAATAGTTTCCTGTAATGTGCATTTTAGTAATGAAAAAAAGCCAGTTTAATTTTAAACAACTTTGCGCCATATACAAATACATAAAAAGAGAATAGATATTTGGATTTTATATTATGGGAATGGGTTAACAAATAAGACAGTAGTTTATAGTTTCATTCATATATATATATATATATATATATATATATATATATATATATATCTTTAAGAGCAAAGTGGAAGAAAAGAAAGTACCGGTATACAAGCACCAGATGTACGACAAAGATAACATATCCAAGACACACTGCAGCAATCCACAGTATATTTGTTTTAGGTTTAACAAAAATAATCCAGGCAGCAGCTCCTTTCAGGAACTAAATGAAACTCTGATATGAAACTAGGTTTAATTTAGATTTCTGGACCGGCATACTTTGACTGTCAGTCTCTGTTCTTTCCATGCAGTAACTACAAGACCTGAAAATTTGCTTTACCTTGAGGTCTCAATAAAGAAAAAATAAATGAGTTTCATTTTTGTTACTTTATCTGTCAACAACTACGAGGCTGGTATGAATCTTGGCAGTATGTAATCAAAGTCTTATGTAGCGCAATAACAGAGCTAGTCCACCTTATTCAGTGTAATTGTTTTCCTCTAGCACCAAGCAGTGTGGAAACACACTCCCTTTCAGATGTTGGCAGAATAATTCACTTGAGTATTAAAAGAGAAAATGGCAATGTGTATCTCTATATGGATCCTTCAGAGCTATGAATGGTATTGATGAGCAACCGTAAAATAATGAAACCATATACAAAATGTTGGGTTAAATAAGGGCCACTTTATTTGACCCATTTCCTATTTAAGTTGATTGCCTCTGAAAAGCACAAGAGGAGAAAGCAACCTGATGCAGATTCAACTGAGGTCACGTGTCTACCCAGGAGCCCACCATTGTGCAATGGGTTAAACTCTTGCGCCAGCAGGACTGCTGACATACAGGTAAGCAGTTTGAATATGGTGAGAGCAGGTTGAGCTCCCTCTGTTAGCTCCAGCTTCTTATATGGGGACATGAGAAAAGCCTCCCACAAGGATGGTAAAACATCAACAATCCAGGCGTCTCTTGGGCAACATCCTTGCAGATGGCCAATTCTCTCACATCAGAAGTGACTTGAAGTTTCTCATGATGCCCCTAACACAAAAAAGGGTGTCTACCCTAGACTACCCCCTCAACCTTCCCTCTTGCAAAATCTCAGCCCCAACAGAAAGCTAATAATTGAGTTAACTCTCATCTGGCCAGTTTCTGAAAGATAAACCCAGGGCACTCCCAATAAATTCGCAAAACTTTATAAGAATGAGTGAAAGCTCTTCAAGGTACACTCCTTCTCCACTTATCCCTGAATGCCAGGATCTATGGAGGCCATTCCAGAATCTTTTCTTTCACAAAAGGATACACAAAACTCTGAAGCACCTGTCATGGACAAGGGACAAGCGTCTGCTTAGTCCCTTCCCCCCTCCCCCCCTCCAAGCTCACCCCATTGCAGGTCTCCCAGGAAGATCAAGCTGCCTTCTTCTGAAAGGTGAATGACATTAGCCCTTTAGCAAAAATTAATGTTAGGATGTGCAAGAAAGTGATGCCATCCATTGTGCAAAGCATTCCAAACCTCTCTGCTATCCTTCTTTTGAAGACATTGGAGATCCCCTTCACTACACCAAATT